CAGATGTATTATTTTGTCGTAGATGTAGACAGTTTTCATGACAGAGACAAAAGGGCACTTTTTGGGCAGGGAATTGCTGAAGAGGGCCACTAGCCCGAAACGTTGTACGTTTGGAATTTAGGAAAATATAAGTATTTCAATGTTAAATATCTTTTAGGTGAAGGTGATCCGAGAAGAATATGACACCAAACATCACGAAACTATCTCTACAGTGGAAAGTTGAGACACACATACGAAAAATATCCGATATCTTAGAAATACAAGTGATAGTTTTTGTTTGTTTGTACGCCTGATCTCTAGAATGCTCTAGAATTATGTAAAGTTTCACTTTTTGAACTTTGGTGGTGTTTTTTTTTTCCTGAACTGTTTGAAACCTTCACGAATGACCTGATCTGCACCAAAGAATACACGTGAACTCAACCAAACATAATCAAACACAGACACCTAGCAAGTACAAATAATAGGTATGGTTGGGTCTTTCAGAGCAAAGCTATCTGCTGTGTCCACCGCGTGGAATCGAACCCCGGATTTAGGCATTGTAAGTCTGTAAACTTTCTGCTGTTCCAACTTGTACTGTGTTTCCTAATTTAATACAGTAAGAGCGAAACACGTCGAGCTGGAAGGTTGGTACAATATATATAATTTGAATTACTGCATATTAACACACAAACGGTCACACACACACACATACGTTATCACATTCTTTCAAATTAGCTTTTGTTGGTATCAAGTGGAAATTAATATCGGAAATTACGTCATTAGTCAAACTGAATCCATGCCGCTTAACACCGGAAATTACGTCATTCACAAGACTCGTTCCTTATTACGTAATACCGGAGATTACGTTTTTGAAGAAACTAACCTCGTACTGCTAAGAATTTGACAACTGACCAAAAGCCACACGTCTATAGATCAGTAGTTCCTAGCTTAAAGATTAGACAACTGTTAGCGCAGGGAATACGATGTATATGTACATTTAACATTAATTGACTTGTTCGTTGAAGAACAATTAAATCCAGCTGTTGCCCGAGCATCCTTCGGTAATTGCATACCTGTTGAAAGGACCGACTGGAAATGATGCCAAACATTTTTTACACATCATTAACCTGCACGTCGTATAATATGATCCGCCAACCCGTCATAACAACATGACGTTAAAGTGTTTGTTGCTATAATTACAAAAGTCAATAAATTGTACACCTCCAATGTCTGTAAATATGCTGAAGAAGTTACAAGATTCTGGCACGGAGACTAATTACAGGGGCATGAAGTCGTTTATAAAATCAACACCTTGCCTAACAGGTTTGTAGGTGAATAAATCGCTGGTATTTACACTTTACTTCATAGTTAAGTCTTACCTAATGATGACGTTGCAAGCTACGTCACAGATCTTAGTAAATCGTGACATCACTTAGTGTGACGTATGAATATTACGTTTCTTATAAAATTATAATTATATCACAGCAAGACAATTATTAAACGTTGTCAAGTATTACAGGTGGCAGTGATATACAAAAAGTCTCATGAAACTGTCAACCACTAAGGCTTAGTGATTAGCGTACCGGGGGGGGGGGTGAGATCCAAGGTTCGAGCCGCGATATTTCACTGAAGACTCCACATTTTCAACTGTTGAGACTTTATAACATTAGCAGCCAATCCTGCTACTCGGTTAGGAGTAAACGCGTAGGCGGCGTGTGCTGCTGACTATTTTCTTTCCAGTTTGGTAGCAGTTCTAAATTATGGGTGTTTATTATGCAAGAACCTTAAGTGTCACTGACTGGCAATTTAGCCCTTGTGCCGCATAAGGTACCAATCAAGTTGTAAATACGACAGTGATAGTTACAGTTTAAGGGAAATAAGTCCTTGGAAAAACAAAACAAAAAATACAGTTATTTTGTCTGAAAGAGTTACTGCAAAATATAAAAGAACAATGAACAGTTTACTCTAGAAAAATAAATCCAATAAAAAGGACGACAGACATTCTTCAAAGGCTGGGAACACTATATGTTTTAACTGGTGTACTTTTGGGGGAAAGAATGTTCGATCCCGCCTCCTGTCGGCGTCTGTTTTCAAGATGAATAGCCTTCATGTTTCCAAGGGTCCGGATTTCTTCCAGTTCACTGACCTGAAAAAATGGGCAATTACGTACAAATCTCAAAAAATGGCATGTTTCGGTAGAAGTATGACCCACGAATGACCTCATTCACTCTTTCACTGTTATCTCTACACTTTTGTATAATTGAAAGATGTGCTCAGAAAATATACTCGTATCTTTATAAACCAATCGGAAAGAGAGAAACAAACAGAAAAATTGTTCAACGTCATTGTGAAACACACACACACACACACACACACACAACATGGCAAAACCTTATATCGCTTTCCAAATGGTGGATCTCTAGTCCTGAAGAAAACAGCCCCGTCTATCAAAAGCTCTAGGGTTTGATCGATTCTGTTCTTAACAAATATTTATAATTTGTACTTACACTTCGCTGCCTTCTCAGTACTAAAGCTCTTCGACCGTCAGCCATAGGTTGAGAGTACTGTGAGAGCTGTTTTAGAGATTCAGAAGGTGGCACACCTCTCTCCACCACTAGGACGATCCGGGCCCACTGGTCAGATGAAAAAACTTAGGTCAAGCCGATGGTCATATCTAGTGCATGGTCTTAAAATGAAGCTGTATCCAGCACTCGCTAGAAAAGCTTCTACTGTCAATGAACGTTACAAAACACAAGTGGGAAAGGAATCTAACAATAAAGGACGTACCAAACACTCTCTAGAAAACATTCTTTGCCAGTAAGTGTCAACCATTCATTATAAAAGAATCTAACAATAAGAAATGTACCAAACACAAGCTAGATAGGAATCTCTAACAATAAGGAACATACCAGACACTCGCTAGAAAGGAATCTAACAATAAAGAACGTACCAAACACTTGTAAACAAAATTAGAAAGTTTGAAATCACTAGAAGTCAGTGAGTACGAAGTGATGACAAGTTCCAGTTACCATTGCATACTTTATATTTAGAATAAATAAAAAGTAAGTTTCCAACAGGTCTTGTTCGTGGGTTATAACAGATATTTCTCATTGTGTTTTAGCTAGGACACAAATGCACCTGATTGTACAAAAGTATTACAATTAATTAAATTTTCTAAAAACAAAAGTACAGGATTAAGATTCTATTTTGTTGTTGTATCTTTTCAAGAGTCATTTAATAGAGGATTTAGCTCGTTTTCTGTGTGTATGGTTAGGGAACTTCAGTAAAGAGATCTGAAAAATGTGAATTGGTATTGTTACGAAAATTACAAAACAACAACTAAAAATGCGGACTATTTCATTGAATTACATTATTCGAGCTCACGTACCTGGCGGACCCATTCGTTCCTCCTCTCAGCAATATTCTGGTAGGTTTTGCCCATCATAGCAATCAGCATGTTAATAAGGAGGATGGTGACGAGAGCCATGTACATGATGAACAGTATCTGAAAACCAAAACCAAACCTACTCTTCAATACTGTAAGCTTGGAGCAGTCTGTATGTGTAAGAGAATCTTACTGAAAGGGCTACAGAAACACAGTTATCCACAAGCAACATATCCTGGTATATCTATACTTATCATGCTAGTCTTCAGACTTGCACTTCTTAAGTGTGTTGTAGTCTTCCTACCTGTATCATAGCTTTCTTGTCTGTACCATAGTCTTCTTGCTTGTACCATAGCCTTCTTACCTGTATTCTAGTATTCTTACTTGCACCGTAACCTTCTTACCTATATTATAGCCTTACCAAAGTAAACTTGAGCCTGTATAAGGCTAGATATAAGTGCAGCACAGCTAGCAAGGGTATATATAAGAAGTTTGTGGTAGTGTTTTTCATTGAAGTAAGCTAGGAAGCGATATCCGGCTCCTTAACTACCGACTAACTACTCATTGCATCGCCTTTCTTTGTTTTCAGACAACAGTGAACCGACGAATGATTATGCTGTCAGTTAGCAACAATGGAAGTAGCAACTATTATTTACGTTTTCTTACTAATATGACGTGATCTCTGTTGCTTTGGCAACCAAGGAGCAGTGACTCTTAACAATACTTCATTCTTGATTTTGATACAAAGGTGAACTGAGAAGCATTATTTGAACTTAAAAAAAAAGAAAACAAAAACAGTTGTTCAGAAGTAACCACTCTTATTAATATTTTCTTTATAATATGAGGTTAGTTCTGCTCCCTTAGCAACAAAAATTAAAAAATCAGATATCGGAAAGAAGATATTCTTGTTTGTATTTTGAAAACGGTTACTTTTGTTTAGATATTAAGGGCAGGGTATAACGGTAAACTCTCAGTTATTGTTTTAACAAAGAAAAAAAAACAGCAATAGAAAATACACTGAAACTTTTACCTTAGCAACTGTCGGATATGCGGTATTTTCAAACTCCTCGTAAATATCGCCAAACTCTGCTAGTGACATCACAAACATGGCCATGACGCTAGCTACTGGACTGCCAAAAAAGTTCGCGCCCTCTCCGTTGTGCGTTAGAAATATGACGTAAAAGGCTTAAAAAATAAATAACGATTCAGGCAAGTTTGATTAAAAGGAAGGATAACTTTATTGTTGTTGTTGTTTTGTCAATAAATTAACAAAAATTAATTAACCCTAACAGTGAAGTTTAACCCTGATTAGTACTTTACATTCACATCTTCCAAACAACTGCTAAAAAAAGGGACCTTACCCGCAAAAGAAAAGAAACTTACCTTGGGAGAAACCCATAACAAATACCAAGTAGATCGTTACAAAACGAAGAAGATCTGTGATGATCATTTTATAAATCATAACAACGAACGGCCCCACAAGTTTGAAACCTCTGAAATAAACAAAACAAGTTCAAAACAATGTAGAAAATAAAAAACACGCTTACAGCGACAAGTTACTGATTTCAAGTGTGACAGAGGGTACATGTAACACAAAATAAAAATGGGTTACGGAACATAGCTTCACATTAGGGTTAGGATTATCTGAGGTTGTTACGTATTTCTTTGACAAAGCACTTTCAAACAACACTCGCGAGTTATTTTAGGTTTAGTTTAGTCTCTGAGAAAATAGTGAGAACATTTTACTCTCGAGACAGAATTTCTCTTTATAGAAACTTCTGGAATTCGATATATATAGTAACTCGTTTTCTAGGTATGTAGAATTGAAGCCCCCAAGTTTTTCATGCTTATATGTAAATATGCTTCGGATTGTGAAAAAATTCTGTAATGAATAAACCATATTTCAGGGATCATACGACGCTCATTAACCCTAACAGTGAAGTTTAACCCTGATTAGTACTTTACATTCACATCTTCCAAACAACTGCTAAAAAAAAGGGACCTTACCTGCAAAAGAAAAGAAAATAGGGGGCGGTGGTGATCATGACGAATACTCCTACAACGTCTTCCACACGTGATGCACATGCAAGACGAAGAGGAACCATTAACATCACTAAAGTACAGGAACACAGAAACAGCGCTCGAGACGGTACTGTTACCTGTAGGTGGCGAAATAGGACACAAGTTCTTTGTGAGTTACTTTTTTTTTCTTTTAAGAGCAAAGCTGTATATCTGTGCTGAGCCAGCGCGGATCTCGAGCCTCGAATTTTAGAATTATAAGCTCTCTAAATTACCGCTAAGCACCAGTGAGTATCGAACCCCGATTTATAACGTTATAACTCACTGCTGAGCCACTGCGGGTATCGAACTCCGATTTTTAGAGTTAAACGCTCTCAAACTTACTGCTGAGCCACTGCAGGTTTTGAATCCACATTTTTAGCGTTATAAGCTCTCAAGCTTACCGCTGAACCACGAAGAAGCTTTCTGTAAGAGTTGTTATTATTATTTTAGATTTATCCATACGAAACAGTAGAAACCACGTCATTATTTTTATTAAGGTGACAGTGTGGAAAACAACTATATACCTAAATATTTACCAACTGGGTGAGTATTACTACAATCATAGCTGGAAATAAGTATTCGATATGTTGTTACTGATGACATTTTGTATTATAATAAATAAACGTCGTCTTAATCCCCGGCAAGTCTGAATACTTATAATTGTAAAAAATAGGTTTCGATACCCGTGGTGCGCAGAGCACAGATAGCCCATTGTGTAGCTTTGCATTTAACAACAAGTATACAAAAAAAAATATAATCTGGTCAATAAGTTTCACAACTTACTAAGTTCTCCAAGAAAGTCTGGTAACCAAGGAGACGTGCTTCATTAGCAGAACTAAGAAGATACAGAAAGGCGCCCCCTATCGTCAAACATTCTAAAACCAAGTGATGCTGTAGGTGAAAAATAAATATATTATTTGACAGCCATACAAATAAACAGCCATTGCAAGCATCTAAAGGTAGGTAGAACATTGTATCTAACATAGAAAACGTAAAATCACGTATAATAGCTTATTTCCGGATCAAACACCGTTTACAATTTTCTTTGTTCATAATGGCTCTCTGTCGTTAGGCTTAAGACAGGCAGCCGACATCGGCTGTTTGGTAGGAATGTCAATGATAGATTGACAACTAACAATGTTTTGAAAATGTTATTTATATGGTGAACTAAGTATGAACTTTGAACTTTATATTTTAATGTGAAAAATTACGTATAGGCCTGCAATAATACATATTTGTACAGGTATAAGAACGTTCTGTATAGTTTCTTTTAAACGTTATTTTCGTCCCAGAAAATGTTTTCCGCGTTGAATTATACTTGTTTAAAAGCGAAGAATATTTCCTTCAATGAGACATTAATCTATAATGATTGTAGTATATAAATCCATTTTAATTAAATCGTAGTTTGTACCGTATTATTTGAAAGCATTATTAAGAAAATAGCGCGTATTATTGTAGGCCTATTACAGTGAAAAGTTTATAATCAGTATACTTATGTAGTGTACAAATAATACATTTAAAACGCTAATAGCTAAAGTCAAGAGCCGTCATCATTTAGGAAGCCACTTCCAAAAAAAATATAATTTGCAGTGAACGTTTTGATACTTCAATAACAATATATATATTATTTACTTTTGTTTTTATCACAACAGTAGTATAAATAGTTATGCAACTCGTTTTGATTTGATAAGAAACTTTTACTACTCGTTCTTTAGTAAAAGTAAACTTTTTTACCAGTTGTTCTTAAGTAAAACTAACTAAAAGTGTTTTACCTTTTTCTTTTAAACTTGGAAATAACCAATTAGAGAGTTATTTAACACGAACACAAGTACAGCATCAGTTATCATCTAAAAATTCCAACAGTAAGCCTAATCTTACCACGTTTACTTTACTATCATTGCTTAAAGCCAAGCAGTAATGTTGGCCATCTGATGGTGGTGATGGTAAAGATAAGCTTGAATTTTTGTAAAACTCCTTTGAAGTCAAATTCGTATCTGTTTCTTCCTCGTTTCCCACCAGAGGGGCTGGTCTTAACACAAAACACGTTAAAGAAATGAGAAAGTAGACAGCAAATGTTGCAAACTGCTTGTAAAACCTGCATGGAAAAAAAAATAGCTCTGTGAAACCTTAAAATAAATACGTTATTGTCAGATATTTTAAAATGAATCTTTAACAGTGAGCATAATATAGGTTTCTTAAAATAAATTTGAGTTTAATAATGTAATTTATAAGATTTTGTTTTATTATATTTACTTCGTTAGGAAACAAAACAGGGACTTTGTAACAATAACTGAATCGCATTGCGATAAAACTCGATAATCTGTTTAAAACAACAACAACAACAAAATAGGCTTACAGTAAACCTTCCATAATATATTATTATAAAGTGAAGTTAGAATGAAAATACGTTTACCTAAACTTCACAAAAGTGTTCCATTTGCAATGAAGAAGATCAATGAGTAGACCTTCTAACATATCCAGATGATATAGTTTGTCCTAAAAATAGTAACAGAAATGGGACAATATATATATATCGAGTGGCAAAATACACCATACTTGATATGAAAAATTTAATCTCGTGGTAAAGTATTATTATTATATTTTTTTTTAATTTCACACAAGGCTAGCTTTTCGTGGTTTCAGTGCTCATCATTTTAAAGTTAATAACATTTAATGTCAGTCATGACTATATATATATATATATATATATATATATTCGGATGTTGGTATACTTTGGTGACAGTATTTTCTTGTAGGCAG